TCTCATGGTGTATATTCTCCTTTTTTTAGTTTTTTCCTTATATTTGTGAGTTCTTTTTTATCGTTATTTGTTTTCAAATTGTTCTTCTTTATTGTCATCATTATTTGACTTCTTATTCATCTCATTTGTCTTCGTTTATTCATCATATTTACCTTTTTCAACTTTTTCTTCTTCATCTTCTAGTTTTCTTCCATTTTATTATTTTTTCTTTCACTTCCTCTATTATCTACTGGTTTTCTTTTATGACTTCTTCTTCTGATTATCTTTTTTCTTCTCCAATTGGTCATTTAATTTATTTCGTTCATCGTCATCGACCTATCCGACTATTTTTTATCTTACTTGTTCAATGTATTATGTTTTGTTCAGATTATCATGGTATTGTTATTCTTCTCCTTTTTCTTAATTTTTTAGCTTCTATCTTCTTTGTTTTTCCTTTCTTATCTAACATTGTTTTTGACAATTTCTTCTTATGTATTTGTATTAATCTTCTTAGACTTCTTGATTTTTTTTCATTCGGGTTTTTTCTTTCGTTTTTTTCTGTTCATTTTTTTTGTTTTATTTGTCTGCCACTTCTTTCTTTGTTTTATTTTATTGTCTTTGTATTCTCCAAAATTCTTATTCTTCAACATCTTCTACTATTCTTTTTTTGGTTTATAACCCGTTTTTATCTTCTGCTTTTTACTTCTTCTTGGTCATTTTTGTCCTATCCAAATTTTTTTTTCTTTCTAATTTTTGTTTGTCCTTTTCGCATCTTTACTTTCTTCTTTTTTATTTTCTTTTTCATCGTCGGGTTTTCATCTTCTTATACTTTATTTTCTTCATCTACCATTTTTGTTCTTCTTTTTCTTTGAGTTTTCTTCTTCAACTTTGAGTTCTTCATCTCCTTATCATTTTTCTTTTTCACTATTTTGTGTTACCCATCTTGATCTTATCGTTCATGGTCTAGGACTTTTTGTTCATTTTTTTTTCATTTTTTACGTTTTCGTCAACTCTATGTTCTTCTATACGTTTCAGTTTATTTTTTTCTCTTCTTTTTCTACTTCGTTTTTTCCTTTTTCCCTTTTTCTGTTTTCTTTTTTGGTTTTTTCCTCTGCGTCCTGCTAGAGTATTTGGCATCTCTTACATTATTTCAAAAATAAACAGAATTCAGAAAGCCATCTTTAAAACAAGCAAAAAAAACAAAAGACTTAAAACCTGTTCATTAGACAATGAAGATGATTTATGATATGTTGACATGGTTTTAATCACGTTAAGTAAAGAAGAATAACTGACAACACAAAACAACAACATATAATTGAGGAACACTACTACTGGTACTGAAAAAAACGGAAAAAAACAATAGGAAAAAACGAAAAATTGATTTATAAAAAATAAAGATGGTAAACAATACAACAAAAAGCCGACTAATGTATAAACCAAACCACAATTGAGCTTAAGATATATTTAAAAAAAGTAATATATTTATATATAGCTCTCAATTTAAGCTAGGATTTCCCACATCACATGTACATTTTTGTTTCGGATCCTCTCGCTGA